GAGAGAGAGAGAGAGAGAGAGAGAGAGACAGATCAGAGAGCGCCTCCTGCTAGCCAAAACTTATGTAATAAACTCTGATGAGTTTGAAAGAGGTGTGTGACTAGAAAAATAGGAACATTATTATTAATATTCATTTTATATCATTTGTTAAAACGTATTTAATTATCCTTTGATATTTTAAGATGCCTCAAAGAAACTCTCTTAAGTTTGTTTGTCTTACGAATGAGCTACATCCGAACTACATCCTTTAATTTTGTTGCTAACACAATTCTTCATCCTTTTTACACAACTTCTTTATGGCTAATCCTGATCAACAGGATGAACATTATGTTTAATTGCTGTTCACCGTAAAGTTTGGCCCATAAACATTTTGACTAGGCCTATAAACTGTCTAATAGAGCACATTAAATCGCTTTGCATGATTTACGGCGCTTTCCTGCCCAGTTTTTTCTTGCCATGTAGCATAAAAATGTAGTAAAACCGAGTAGAGACATGCTCCCGTATGGGGATATAAAGCGTTGCAGTAATTGGAGGCAGCACATGTCGAGCGGCAGAGGCAGCTCCCCATTGACGCTTAATCAATACCCAAATCATATCGCACAGGAACAACAATAAGTGCTTAGAGAGAGACAGAGAGAGAGAGAGAGAGGGGGTGGCAGAGAGATAGATAGAGAGAGGAAGGGGGCAATGCAATATAAATATTTGACGTGCGAGAACGTTTGGCTTTTATGGCTGCCCAAATGGAAGAAGCCGCTGGAGAGGCAGCTTGTGTGGCAACCATGGGCAAAGTGAGTTGTTTAGCAGGCGACATAACAATTGCAGATTTAGTGAAATTGCTTTTACCCCCAGCTTGCCACACCCACAACCTCTGACAGACGCACAGGAATGTGTGCGTGTAAGTGTGTGCGTTGTTCATGTCATCGTGCTGTAATCAAATGGAACTCGACGCATAATGGCGCAAATTGCGCTTTTATGTAGGCTGTCGAATTGTGTACTCGACGCACTTTGTGCAGCGCATCTGTCAAATGGCTAAATACTCGCCCATGTTCGACCATCTGGAAGTGGATACCGCCCACAAATTAGCGCCCAAGTGTTGGTCCACTCCCCCATCTGGGCCCCAAATTGAAAATAAAATGCGGCACGTAGAGAGCATCGCATGCGGTTCATTGGTAATTCATTTATGCGCACATTTTCTTTGGCCGTCTGTCAGTAGCGTCTCCGTGCCGCTGCCAGCTGGTCTGCTGCAGGTGTTTCGCATAAGAAATGGCTGCCATCGATGGGGAGCGCCGCATTACACGTAATTTATACTTTTTGGCAGCCACTTTGGCCTCGAGCTGGGCCCTGGCAGACCTGGCAGCCCAGGCAGTCACCACGCACGACTTGACGTCATGATAATGTATCGAATTCATTTTCCACTTGTTTTGCTTGCCAGCGGGCACCCACACGTTACCTGGATGTACACCAGTTCAGGTCCCTGCTCGGGCGCCGCCTGGCCAACTTGTCTGGGCTTTTTTTTGCTTTCTTGTTTTTTCTCTTTGTTCACGTCTTTCCATGCCAACGTTTTGTTTGGCAAATATCAAAAACGCTTTCGACACATTCCACATTCATACTCAATTACCTACGTGGCAATGCTTCGCCTGGCTGCCGGAGCCATGCAGCATGCCACCTGGCCACCTGGCCAGCCGGCCACTTGCCAGCGGCACTTCACAGTACTTTTTCATGTTGTGTGTGCTGAGCATTTATATTTGAAGGCGTATATGGCAGGCTTTCAAGAGAATTGATCTGGCTATGCATTAAATATTTATTACAGGGTATTTTGTAAGTCCATTCACAGTGTTGCCTTCATGCACTCGACGTGAATTGTGCAACTTTTGTTCTGTGCTCTCTGTTTGAGTTCGCCAGCCAACGTTCAATGACTTGGCCAGGCCAAAAAGTTTGTTGCAAATATTTGACCATCGACCGCGCGCAGGCAGGCGCAGCACTTTCAATCCCCTCACCTCCCCCCCTCTCGCTTGAGGGGAGCAGTTGTTTGTTGGCTTGCTGCCGAGCGGGTTGGCACGTTTGGTTTACGCTATTCGCCGAATTTCATTCCAATGCATTTATTTATTTGACTTCGTTTTGGACTTTGAGTTGCCTGGACAAATAAAACAAGTTTTATACAAATATGTGCAATTTCTATGCTGCACAGGAGTGTGTGTGTGTGTGTGCCTGTGTGTGTGTGTGTAGGTTTGTGTGTGTGCGCGTATAGTTGACCAACTTGAAAATATTAATATTAAAATTGCTTTTATTGAGCGTCGAACAAGTCGTAAATTCGACTTTGTATAATTTGCTGCACACGGCAAATCGCAATCGCATTCAACCAGTCGAACAATAATATATTCAGTCGCCCATATCCAGAAGCGAATCATAAAAAATAATATTCAGTTTTGCCAGCTCACTAAATCAATCATAATCAACATAGAAAATTTGCATAGAAATATTGAAAAACATTGCCAGCGAACGCTAATATACATTTCCATTGATTACGAAAAGAAGAGTATGTTGAATGGACTGAGTTAAGGTATATTAACTTGATGAAGGTAACAAAACGAAGCGAATTTGTGGAGAGTTTATTAGCACAACTCGTACATATAGTTGAACATTTACTTACGACTGAAAGTAATTTAATAGCAGCTGTTGAACTGTTGTTAGGCAAATATAAACGAGATTTGCATAAGAATGTTTAATTATTACTATTATTATTCATCTATAAACTGGCTTCAAGCCCGAATGTAAAGTTAAAAGACTTTAAGTGAAAGCTAATTGGAAATATGATTATAATTAAAGCAAAATTTTCCCTAATAAAATCACTTCCACTTTTTATGATTCTGCAGCTTACATTTTAAGCTGGAAATCATATTTTCTAGCTCCATGCTGTTCCGTGCTAAATATTATTTTTAAAAAGAAGCTCAACTTAATAAGCTTAAAAAATTATGTTCTTACAATTGCAGAGCATTCGATTATCAATTAGTTTTTCGCGCGCTTGTTCCTTTTCCTACTTATTTTTCGCCCTTTTTTCATGCCACAAAACACACAAATTCACTCAACAAAATTGTCGGCACCGTCCGCTGATTGATATATTGAGCGACTGATTGATTGATGGCTGGAGCTCCCACTGCGATTAGTTGCGTTAAAAGCGTTCGATGTGCTAATTAAATTGACATTCACCAGCTGACCTGCTGGGAATCGACGCCTGCCCGCAGCCAGCTGTCCATTGTCCGTCAATTGAGCTCATGCTCACACACCTTTGCTTTTCTAAACGGGGTTTATTGTTTATTTTTGTTGCTTTTTGTTCTTTGTAAATATATTTGGAACGGAGTTGTAATTCAATCGGACGCAAAAACCAACCGATGCAAACACAAACAAAAAATGTTGTCAACATCAAGCGGAAGCTGCCGGCGTCGTTGTCAATGTTTGTTTTTGTTGCGCTTTAATTATTTTTATGCCAACCTGGCGCGCCCTTAAGCGGAAATTGCATAGTGTCGCAGCAGTCGGCAGGCCCTTTTCATTTCATTTTATTTTATTTTATTTTAATTGAATTTTGAAATATGTGTTGGGCCATTTTTTTGTATTTTTGTATTTTCTCTGTTTTTATGTGCGCTGTAAATGCAATTAATTCGAGCATTTTTTAAATTGTTCCATTGAACCGTTCAAAGCTATTTGCTGCTGTAGTTGCAATAAATTTACCGCACGTTAAGCATAAATCAAATGTATTAAGAATCAGCCTTGTGGTTGTTGCAGCTCTTGCTGTTGCCGTGGAAATTGTTAATTAAATAACTTGTTGTCGTTCTGTTACAGCTACAGATATCGGGCCAGGCCTTAATCATGTTCAAAGTATTGTTAAGTATTTTAATCGTGTTAGTCTTTTGCAATTTGCATTTGCCTAACTAATGCACAGTTATACGATCAAAGCCATTCGTTAATTTGTTGCAATCAACTGGGAGCACGTGGCGTATGCGAAATTTGCATGTATGTTTTATTGATATGGCCGCACGCCATTTAAATGCTTTTAAACTTGACTGTCACGAAACATTGTTTATTTTTAGCACATTTAAAATATAACCCCAGGCCAAATATGCACATGCTCAATTTCATTGCATCTATGTTTTTAGCAAATAAAACGTTCTATCATAATTGCCAGGCAAGATATCTCAGATAGAGTCGTAATTGCTTTAGTGCTGTGGGAAAGTGTAAACAATATATTTCTATTTTTTTTTTCAATTTCTTATCGGTATTCCGGAGTATTCAAAGGAACTACAAAATATTCCTTTTGTCTTACATTCCCTCTTTGTTTTGAGTTAACATCAAATATTTACTGACTTTCTTCATTCTCCAGCATGTAGCTGCAATTCTCGACTAGCTGATATATAATTGGCCTCTAAATTATGTAGCAGCTTGAGCAGACATACAAAAGTTTGCCTGCTTGCCTCGTTTCGTCTTACTTGTTCTATTTTTCGACTGCAACTTTATCTGATTTGCTTCATTTTCAATGCATGTAATTTGCCATTCGTCTGCATTTGTATCTTGCAGATATTTATATGAACTCGGTTATTTTAACTTACTCAGCATTTTGTATGATGTACATTCATTCAGTTTGTGCCTTGCAGTTTGGCAACGAGCGCTGGCCGCAGGGCGTATACGCAATATTATTTTATTTAATGGAATATGGCATGACCAACAGCTTTTGCGGTAACTTTGGCCCAAAAACTACAGCAAAAGTTTTGTGCAAACTAATTGTTAATTGAAACAAAATCCCGTTCATTTGTTGGCGCTGCAGTTGCCAGCTATTCGCCGGCCGGCAGCAGCTAGGGGGCCTGCAAAGCATTTGCCGTCAAACAAATGCCAACAATTAACTGTGGCAACAATAAAAGCGAAACTTAACTTAACTAAAGTCTTTCGCCAGCGCTGGCATAAATATGAATACAGTGGAACAAAAGTTGAGCCATACTTTAGGCACTTACCGCTCAGGACAATCACAGCGAGTAGCAGCAGCCAGGCCACGCAGATGCTCTGGGCCATATGGAGTGGCATGGCGATGTTGGCGACAGCGGCGGCAGGAACAACAACCGGAAATGCAGTAAGCCTGGTCCTGGCCCGGACCGGAACGTGGGGGCCGCGGCGGTCGGCTGGGCGTAACGGGGAACGCTTTTGTTTTAGGTCTGTCTGTCTGGCTGTCTGACTTTCTGGCTGCCTGCCTGACAGTTTTTATGCTGGCAGCAATAACCAAGTTAGCAGCGTCATCATCAACATCAGAAGCAGCTGCTGCTGCAGCAACGTCATTATCGGCGTCTGCCGGCGCGCTCGCTAACGCTCTTTATTAACTTGGCCAATTGCCAGACGGGCACAAAAGGCAACTCTGTTTTGGCTCCGGGCAAAGTCGTGCGCTGTTTGCCTTTTCTATTGCCCAGCTTCTGTTTTACGCGCGACGCTTGCCTGAAAAGACACAGAGAGAGAGGGGGGAACGGGAGAGAGGGTGTAGGAGCAGCAGTTAAGTTCTGTTTAGTGGACTGACATGAAAGTTATTGCTGTGACAAAAATGCTTGAAATGTAGGTGAGCAGCAGCTGGCAATGGAGCAACAGAGGCAGCTGCCTCAAAGTCAAATGCACTCATTGGCACGCCTCCGCCACGCTTCCTGCAAAGTGAAAAACCAAAAAACGAAAAGTCCAAAACGGAAATGAGAGCATAACGATAATGGCGCACGCCGCCTGCATAATGATATAGCCAATGGCCGGTGGATCCATTGTGGCAGCATTTGCCTTTTATTTTTCTATTACACGATTTTTAGCTCGGCCCCGGCCCCACCATCCACGCCTGCCTTCCTGCCACAGCAGCAGCAGTAGCAGCAGCTTTGCAATTTAAATTGCCAAAATAGTAACTTATTTTCACTTATCTCGCTTAAAAGCTCCCCTTCGTTCCCTCATGCTAGCCTGTTAAAAGTTTGAAACGTAATTAAGGTAATTGTTAGCTCCCGTTTGCCCCCCGCTATTTGCACACTGATTATGCACCATAATCATTTTGAATGTGCAACGGCGCTGGATGATCGATTCGCCGGCATTTATGTCAAAATAATGAGAGTCGGGCATATTTATTACGCATACGCCATGTGCACACTCAGCTATACAAATTTGATTCTCCTGCCCCTTCGGACCGCAATACGCAACATGTGAACATTTTCGAATTTTGTTTCTCTTTTTTTTTTGGATTTATCTAGTACATTTTTCCGGCATTGGCTGCCATTTGGCTCGGCAATGGGCATAATTCTAATGCATGGATATTATGTGCCGTCGTCTGTTCATGCAAATTACACCAGCTCCCCTCACTGCGAAGCCCCTGCATCTGCCCAACCAGTCACTGTGCACTGTACTTATTGTTAGGAAACGGAAACGGCGCAGCAAAGCCCCAAAAACGGAATTTTATTATTGTTAGCAATTGGTTTATGTGTGTGTATCGCCCTATTTGTGTGGGTGGGTGTGTGTGTGTGTGAGTGTATGCACGGCCTTTTGCATGTGTGTATGGGCCAGACTTCAGACTTCGAAAAGCAATTTGCCACGCACTGTCAGTGAAGTTGAACGCGGTGGAACATTTCTAATTTTCAGCTACGAAAAATTTATACAACAAAAAAAGGCATAGCCCAAGGCAAAGTAGAAAAAAAAATATAATAATAAAAGAGGGCAAAATCAGCCATACAGAAATTTACATAAAACTCAACTCGTATGCATGTTATCTGAAGCAGACACAGATTTGCTTTCATTTCGCCCGTTTTTTTTTTTCTCATTCCCAAAGCAATGCTCAAAAAACACTTTTACGATGCAAATCAATAAATTGCTTTTATTTTCGTGCGAATTATTTTTTAAGCTAGTCACGAAAATAGTTGAGAGCGCCTTTCAATTTAATTTGTTAAATAAATTTGTTAGGTTTTAGCAGACGTTGTCATAAAGTTGCATATATTCAATAAATTTTTAATTGACAAATGATATCCCAAACGGGCTTAAGCCTCATTTAGCACAATTCATAAAATTATCATGCTTTTAATATTTTAATTAAAGTAAATAAACAAGTCTATGCAATAAAGCACACAGCTCAAATTAACGGATTAACGCCATATTTACAGCCGGCAAGCGTAAAAAGCTGTTGATAGGCAGCCCAAAAGAGCGTTGCGTATACTTAATCTGTCGAGAGTTCAAAGTGCATTTGGCGTGCCTCTTAACCATTTTGTTGTCTGGCATTTCTGCTTCTTTTATAATTATTCAAAAGCAGGCAACAGCAACAACATGAGCAACAAAATTTATATAACATTATAAAGCAATTTGCAGTAAATCACCAAAGTGCGGCGCGCGCGTGTTTATAAATCACAAGCAGCTCCGTTTGTCGGCAACCCGTGCGGATTCCCAGCACCAAAGAGGCAACGCCCAGCCCAAAACCCGAACGCCCACAGCCCAGTGCTCAATTCTGGGCAACTCTACGCCCGCAAAGGGAACCGGCTGTTGGCAAACCAAAAATCTAAATGAATAATTAATATGTCGCGCCTGCGGACAGACCGGGACAGACTTAGATGCGGCTCCACATGCTTCGCCATCAGAAGGCAGCATCGAAAATGAAAACCAGCAAGAAGAAAAAAAAATGTTGCTGGTTTGCAGTAATGTAAACAAAACAGCGCCAAAATCCAAAGAACGAAAAACAAAAGCGACGCCAAAGCTCATGTGAGGCCCGACGGCGACTAAGCCCAAGCCCAAGCCCAAGTATCCAGTTCGCAGCCTGTCGCTGGCTTCCGGCAAAAAAAGGCTCGACGAGATTGACAAATTTGCCACGGCGACAGCAAATGAAAACCGGCGACGATGGCGGCTGCTGAATGAATTTTTCATTTATGACAATGTTTACGTAATTTGACAGCCAAAACAATTTTCGTACTCTATTTTCAGTTCCGTGCGCTGATCTTCCGCATGGGCGTACGCAAATGGACTCTCATTTATTGTGCCAAAGCAACCGCACCACCCGCTGGTTCTATGCCACAGCAGCAGCAGCAGGAGATATGGCACAGAGTTTTGGCCTTGCCAATCAGCCAAAGCAACTTTGTTGTCCTTTCTAATCAAATGTGTGAGTGTGGTCTGTTAGTGTGGTAGTGTGTGAGTGTGTGTGTGTGTGCGTGTGTGTGTTGTGTGCTTGTATGTGCAGTCGTGCGCTGCCTTAAAGCCGTTTTAAATGGCCAACGATTTGCCTGAATGTTGTGACATAAAAGTGCAATCTATATAGTCCATTTAGTGAGCACAGGATTAGCAGACTTAGCAAGTACGAGTAAGTAGCCACAGCTAGTTGCAACACGCCGTCCATTGTGGCCAATTTAAATTGCTTTGCCACCTAAAAAAGAAACCTACTGAATGGCAGCTTAAGAGCATGGAAAGGCGAGCCAACTGCTGAATGAAAAGAGGGTCTCGTATGAAATTGGTACTTTAAAAACACAAGGATTTCACATTCATTTCAATTTGCTCAACATTTGAAGAGCTAAACTCAGATCAAGTTGCAGACGTTGGCAAATTCGTAGTATATGTCCTTGCTGGACTTTAAGCTGCCAAAACCTTTGAGCGCATTCGATTTATTTACAACTTCTTTCTAGCATTGATATTGCATTTAAATGTCATGCATTTCTTTATATAACCATTTTTGGAATCTGAACTTTTTAATTTCACAATGTGAATTTATCTTTTAAGTAGATATTCGGTGTGAAAAGTAGAATAAAACGCGGTTTTAAATCAGATTCTGGGAAAGTGCAATAAGTGACCCATCTTTGACTAACCTTTGCATGATTATGCAATAGTTAACCCTTACAACTGCGCTTTGCAGACTTAAAACTATTCAAACTTTCTTATAACTGTAACTGGCATTTAATGCTCTTTGGGACGCTATCTTCATTCAATATTCCTAAGCATTTGGGCCGTATATATATGTCAAAGTTGAACCAATTGTTTGGGCAATATTTTTCTGTTCTTGGCCTTAACTTTAGTTTCAATTGTAATTCATTTGAAAATTTACGTTTTTCTTAAGGAAGCGTAAAGTTTCTTGTATTTTATATTTAAACATTTTTAACTATTTCTTCGACAGTTCTCAGGACCATAAACTAGGCTTAATTGACATATTCAAATTTAACGAACCATTCTGCAAATCAGTTCGCCTAACCCACTCAACCCGCAGTTTTTCTGTTACAGATTTTGATTCCACATAACTTTTGGCATCCTTTGTCAAAGTTTATGTTAATTTGGCCAAATTGGGCGCAGCTCGTAATTGAAACCCAGCGAGAGCAATAATCATGACGATGATCCGGCTGACCTTGACATCGAGTCATTAGTCAAACCAAATGTCAAACAAAGAATAGAAAGATGCGGAAATAGGGCCGTGGAGAGGGGGTAGAGGGAAGTGTGGAGTAAAGTCTGATGGGGAAAATTATTGTTTTGCTCAATTTGGAGGCGCTTTGTTTGGAGCCCAGCCGCTTCACGGCATATTAAACCACATGAATAAATTACAATTGCAAATAGGCAATTTCCTACACTTCCTTTCCATGGACATTTCCACACTGTGCAGCAACCGCAAATGGGGCGTGGCCAGTAGGTCGGTCGGTCGGACGGTTGGTCGCTTGGTTGGTCGATTTCTTGTTGTCAACTGTGGAGTCAGTTTGTTGGTCTAAATAACGTCTAATTTGCAATTTTGTTTAATTGTTTGTGGCTTTGGATTCTGACATAATTCGATGCTTGTTGTTTGCTGTTGTTGTTGTTGAAGTTGTGATCTTTGCCACGCCCATTCTCCCTCACTAGTTGTTGTCGTAATCGTTGTTGCTGTTTGTGTTTTGCGTTATTTGCGGTTTTAGTTTGGGTCAACATCAATGAACGTTGGCACGCACGCACACACACATACACTCACACACACACGCACATTGGGGGTCTCTTTGGGTTAGTGGTTTCCGCTCCGGCGGCGGCATCTCTTGCCCCCCGCTGGCCAGCCGCGTGCCATGCCTAAATTATAATAAAAGGTTTCATTGCGGCCAGTTCAAAATATGCGCGCAGCTTTGCTTTGCTCTTGCTTTGAGCAATTAAACGAATGCCAGCGCGTAGACAAAGGCTGTCCAACAATCCACCGCCTTCCACCCTAGAAAAACAGAGAGCCTCCAATCAATTGGCATTTGGGGCGGGCAGGCGGTAATGTCTGCAAAACTTCCCAATAGTTGCGAGAGTATTAACAAACTGAACTCTTTGCAGTGCGCTGCAAAGTATGCTACGACTTTTGGCCAGCACTGAAAGCCACTCAAGCGCAACTTGAATGGCCATTGTCAATGTACTTTGGCCTCCGCCCGCAGCCCGTTCAGTCGCTTCGGGCACTCCACAAATTAGCTGTACGATTGCCTTGCACTTAGTACACTTCGTTTTCTCTCTGTG